AGGTTACCAAGAACCTTCGATTCATAGAAAGACAGTCTCTGGAGAGTGCAATGAAATGAGGTCATGTATAGATGTGTCTGTATGTATACAGATCTATTCTTTGGGGGGGAGGGGGAAGAATTTCTAATCCTGCATTTAACAGAAAACCACATAGAAATGATCAACTATTTAGAACTCGATATTTACAATGACTAGATATTGAAAGGAGCCTTCCTGGCATAGTGGCTGCTCATTGGGCTGTTAACTAAATGGTCAGCAGTTTGAAACCACCATCCTCACGAAGGGAGAAAGATGCGGCTTGCTGCTCCTGTTAAGAGTTACCGCCCCGCAAACTTACAGGGACAGTTCTACCCTGTCCTATAGGGTCACTATGAGTTGGCATTGACTCAATGGGAGTAATTGGGTTTGGTTTGGGGGGAGGGAAGGGGGCTCTTGTGGGCTGGCTGGACTTTCAAAAAGGAAATCTACCACACTGGGAATGTCTTGAGAGTGTAATTCTCTGTAGTGGCTGCTATTTGCCAGAGAGTCGATCTTGCCGGATAAACCCATTGTTGTAAAGGGAAACCTGACTCATAGCAACCTTACAGTACACAGTAGAATTCCTGATGGTTTCCAAGGCTGTAACTGTTATCAAACCAAGCAGCCTCATCTTTCTCTCACAGGGTGGCTGGTGGATTTGAACTGCTAACTTTCAGTGAGCAGCCATATGCTTAGCCTCTGTGTCACTAACCTGCCTATTTCAATTCACAGGGATTCTTTATGACAGAGTAGAAGTGCCCCATAGGTTTTCCTAGGTTGTAATCTTTATGTGTAAGGAGCTCAGGTGGCATAGTGGTTATGAGTTGGGGTTACTAATCACAAGGTCAGCAGTTCAGTACCACAAGCTGCTCTGTGGGAGAAAGATGAGGCTTTCTACCCCCATAAAGATTTACAGGCTCAGAAATCCACAGGGGCAGTTCTTATCTGTCCTATAGGATCACTAAAAGTCATAATTGGCTGGATGCCAGCAAGTTTTCTGTTTTCTTAATCTTGACGAGAGTAGACTGCCAGGTCTTTTATCTCGTGGAGTGTTGGGTGGGACTCGAACCGCAGACTCTTCAGGTGGCAGCCAAGTGCTTAACCATTGTGCCACTATGGATCCTTGCTGTCTCTGGAGTCTCATTCTCCAGCTCCCCGCTGTTCTCCTATCCATCTCTAGATCACAGACCACCAGCGATTGTGTCTCTGTGATGGGGATCAAACCAAATTCTCGTTAGTGCAGAGTGGTTTATATTCCCCTTTCCAGGTCCCGCCCCAGCCACCAGCCTGGAATCCCAGCTAGGATCCCTAAGACTATGGTGTCTACTGACAAAGTCAGTGCCCCAGTCTGCAAGGCGAAGGACCAGAAGGCCACACTGGTGAGCTGGTCCCTGCAGGACAGATTCCCTGTTCTGGGCAGCACGGAGGAGGCGGCAGCCCGCTCTAAGGGCCTGCAGCACATTCTGACCGCCAAAACCTCAGTAAATGAATCGCCTGCTTCCAAACCCCTGCCCTGCCCCTCACAAAGGCACATCAATGCAATTCAACAAATCCTTATTGAACGTCTACTTTGTTCCAGATATTTGCACAAGACAGTGGAAACAAGGAGAACCAAATAGCTCAGTTATTAGGAGAAAGGGGCAAAGTCCTGTTGCAAATCCTCAGGATTATACATCCATGGCTCTGGAAGGAAACTAACTAGATAAAAGGCCGCGCCACCTTCATTCTTCAGCCATGTGACAGCTTGGTCTCCCTTTCTGTTCTTTAAGCAGTTTGTCCTTTAGATCTAAGAAAAGGAGACCAGGGAACCCCTCTAGTTGGTCCAACGGATTTCAGCAAAGGATCTCCCCAAGGGCTCATCTGGGGTCATTTTGTAAATGGGATCAACAGGAATGCCACGGGGCTATTCTGGGCTGTAGAAAGCTAAGCTGGAAACCAGAGAAACACCACCCTCCCAGCCAACGGCTTGTCCATTCTCTCTCTCTCTCGACCCTGCAGACTCTGAAACACCCATGCTTGTGCTGAGAGAGAGAGACAGAGCAAGTGACAAAAATGCCCATCATCGAACAACCGGAAACAAAACCAGGCACCGCATCCCAAACCTCAAACCAAACCCAAACCACCAGAACAACAGGGCTGCTCCGGGATGCCGTTTCTCTCCCAAAATGTTGCATTCACCGATGGCAGCTATTTCCCCACAGTTTTCTGGGGGAAGAGGCAAGTCTCTAGGATTTGCCTATTTCGTAAACATCGCAGCTAGTCCCTACAGTTGGCAAAGACAACAGGCGGATACAGGCCGGAAGAGAAAGCATCTCAGTTCCGTCAGATGCAAACAGGACAGGACCAATTCCCCAGCGTGTCGGGGGATGCCCGATGATTTGCAGTGAGCTCAAGGCATCAGGGGACTACCATGGTACAATTATTTAAGGAAAGACAGACTCCGAACGCTCTCTTGGAGGATGTATGCAACCCCTTCTTTGTGTGTGTGAAGTTGGTTCAGCAGTACGCTGCGTTCTCCTGTAAAGTTCTCGGCCCCTGTCTACGTAGCTTTGTTGGCTATCTCTGAAGCTGCAGCCTGCAAACTTACCTTCAGGTTCTTGGCGCTGGAAACCAGGATGCCCAGTCCGAAGAAGGCTGGCCGAGTCACTTGCTCAATTCCTGTTGGGTGGCAAGAAGAACTGTGATTTCTAAACTGAACAGTATTTGGGGCATTGGACATTGACTTCTGGGGCTCAGTGGCGGCCAGGCATGTGACCAAGGCCGGATCGGGGACAGCCGTCTGGTTGGCTGACGGATCAGGGTAGGGCAGGCCCTGAACAGAGCCGGCTCCCACCGGAGATAGACACCTACATTTCTCTTTTGATTTGATTTGTTTTGTTTTCACACCTACATTTCTTATTGGATTTTAACTTGGTGATCTGTTTTCTGTCCAAGGGATGCTCCAGCCTTGATTTTGAGATGTTAGCTTATCTCTCCACATGATTTTGACCACAAATCCTCCTTGGATCCCGTCTCAGAAGGGCAGTAGAGCTGAAGGAGCCGTGGGGCCCTGGCGTCTCTCATTTTCTAGAGGAGAAAACTGAGGCCCCGAGAAGGGCATTGGCACTTTCAGGCACCTGCAGAGTTCAGGCCAGGGGCTGCAGACGAGGGTGACCATGAGGGCCGGCACCTCTTGAGTATCTTCAGCCTTTACATTGCTAGAGCTTGAAGGATGATGAGGTGTCACCCATGGGTGCTAAGGTACATTTCAGAACCTAGATCAACAGCTGACAGATGACGGCCATGCATTAGAAATCATGGCAGCCTGTACTTGTGGCCAATGAATTTGTATAAATGTTTGCACTTATGTTTTTTGTCTTTACCTCAATCTACATAAAATGCTCCAAGATGATCTTTCAGGGTTGGGGGGTGGGGGTGGTCAAAGGACATGAAGAGCTGGGAGACCCAACTCTCAAAGACTTTGGGGACAGCTAGAGACCAGAATGGTTTTGAAGAATCTCCTGATTGCTACCTGCCTGGGCTGCGGTCCGCATGGTCGGCAGTTCAAAACCACCAGCAGTTCCGAGGGAGAAAGACTGGCCTTTCTACTCTCATAAGCAGGTATAGTTCAGAAACCCACAGGGCAGTCGATATGAGACAGCACTGACTCAATGGCACTGAATTTAGGTTTGGGTTGTCTCCATCCAAGGCCGCCCTGGTGGTGTAGTGAACTATGCATTGGGCTGCTAACCAAAAGATCAGCAGTTCAAAACCACCAGCTTCGCCACAAAAGAAAGATGAGGCTTTCTGCTCTCGTAACGAGTTATAGTCTCAGAAATCCGCAGGGGGCATTCCACACTGTCCTATGAGATCACGATGAGTCGGAAATGATCCATGGCAGCAAGTGAGTTGAGTGCACCTCCATCCAAGGTGTCTCTGCAGGCTCTCTGCTCCAAAGGGGAGCAGTGGTGGGGAGGGCGAGGGGAGAGGGGGAAGCTCAGTGACAGAAGTGGCAGCGTAGAGAATGGGGGGGGGGAGTAGGTGGAGGTGGCCTCCTGAAACCTAGGAGAACCTTCGATGACCTTGCAGGACCCTGGACTGCTGCGCTTCTCACTCCCTGCCAGAGTCTCTACCGACTCATAGCCCCCTAGAGGACAGGGCGGAACTGCCCTTGTGGGCTTTTGAGACTGTGAGCCTTTACAAGAGTGGAAAGCCTCCCTTGTGTGCTTCTGAGACTGTGAGCCTTTACAAGAGTGGAAAGCCTCGTTTTTCTCCCTGGAAGTGGTTGGTGATGTTAAACTGCTGGCCTGCTGGTTGGCAGCCCGACACATTACCACTCTGTCTGCCACCAGAGCACGAGACTGTGATAATCCCGTGTGAAACCGTTTAAGACCTCCGTGCTGGCGACTGGAGCAGCCGATTCTCTCTCCAGAGCTGTGTGGCCTTGCGAAAGTCACCTCCCCTCTCTTGAAGCAGTGTTTATATATATTTAAAAACCTGTAGCTTAATTTTACCTTTTCTATCTTGGTGATCAGAATGACGCTAGAGAGCACATGATTGAATTTTGCAAGACCGATGACCCATCAATAGCAAATACCTTTTTGCAACAACACAGATGGTGACTATACTCCCGGACTTTTCCGGGTGGGATACACAGAAACCAAATGGACTATGTCTGTGGGAACAGACAGTGGAGATGCTCAGGGTCAGCAGGTCAAACCAGGCCAGCGGCTGAGTGTGGAACAGACCAACTGCTCATATGTACGTTCAAGTTGAAGCTGAAGACAAGTAAAACAAGTCCACAAGAGCCAAAAGACGACTTTGAGTCTATCCCACCGGCCTGAGGAGAACATCCCAAGAACAGATTTGCTGCATTAAACACGAAGGACAGAGGGTCTGTGGGAGGACATCACGAAGGTCATTCACAAAGAAAGCCAAAGGGCATTAAAAAACCAGGAAAGAAAGAAGATCCCAGTGGGTGTCGGGAGAGACTCGGAAACTTGCTGTTCATCATCGAGTAGCCAAAGCACACAGAAAACATGATGAAGCCAGACAACTGAGCAGAAAATGTCTAAGGTCAAGTGGAAAGCAGGTGTTGTGAGAACGATGAAGTCCACATATGCACTAATGTGCTGGACACAAATGATGTATGTACGGATTGTGATGAGTTGTATGCGCCCCTAATAAATTGATTGTTAAATAAAAAAAAGAAAATGTCTAAGGGCAGCTCAAGAAGACAAAGTAAAATATTATAACGAAATGTGCAAAGACCCAGAGTTAGAAAAACTGAAAGGAAGATCACACATAGCAGATCTTAAACAGAAAGAACTCAATAAAAAAAAAAATCAAGCCTCGAGTGGCATTATTGAAAGATCCTGTGGGAAAAATATTGAATGATGCAGGAAGCATCAAAAGAAGATGGAAAGAATGCAGTCACTGTCCCAAAAAGAACAAGTCAACATTGCACCATTTCAGGAGGTAGCATATGAGCAAGAACCAGTGGTGCTGAAGGAAGAAGTTTAAGCTGCACTGAAGGCATCAGCCAAAAGCAAGGCTCCAGGAATTGATGGACTATCCATTGAAATATTTTACAAGCTGATGAAGGTCTGGAAGCACTCCATCGTCTATGCTGCAGAATTTGGAAGACAGTTACTTGGTCAACTGACTAGAAGAGATCCACATTGGTACCCATTCCAAAGAAAGGTGATGCTGCAAAATGCTCAGATTATAGAACAAGATCACACACAAGTAAACGTTTGCCGAAGATCATCCAGCAATGGTTGCAACAGTACATTGAGGGTGAGCTGCCAGAGGTTCGGGCCGGATTCAGAAGAGGGCGTGGAGCAAGGCCTGTCATTGCTGATGTCAGATGGTTCTTGGCTGAAAGCAGAAGACAGCAGACAGATGTGTGCTTGCGTTTTCTTGGGTGTGCAAAGGCATTTGACTGATGAACCGTAACACACTAGGGAGAGCCTTGAGAAGAGTGGGAATTCCAGAACACTTTGTTGTGTTCAGGAGGGACTTTTACATGGATCCAGAGGCAGTTGTGTGAACAGAACAAGGGAATGCTGCCTGGTTTAAAATCGGGAAAGGTGTGCATCAGGGTTGTAGCCTTTCACCATCCTTATTCAATCTGCATCAGGATTGGAGGAAGGTTTACTAACACACTGTGGTATGCAGATGACACGACCTTGCTTGGTGACAGTGAGGACTTGAAGCACTTGCTGATGAAGTTCAAAGACTGCCGCACTCAGTATGGACTGCATCTCCATGTCAAGGAGACCAACACCCTCACAACTGGACCAATAGGTCACATCATGATGAATGAAGAAGACTACAGTTGTCAAAGAGTTCATCTTGTTTGGATCTACAACCAATGTTCGTCAAGAGATCAGGCCACACACTGCATTGTGTAAGTCTGCTGCACGAGACTTCTTTAAAGTGCTGAAAGCAAGGATGTGACTTTGCGGACTAAGGGGCACCTGACCCAAGCCCTGGCATTTTCAATCGTCTCCCGTGCACCTGAAAGCTGGACACTGAATTAGGAAGACAGAAGAAGAATGGTTGCCTTTGAATGTGGGTGCTGGTGAAGAATCTTGGAAATATTGTGGACTGCCCGAAGAACAAACAAATCCGTCTTGGAAGGGCAGCCAGTATGTTCCTTAGAGGCGAGGATGGCAAGACTTTGCCTCGTGTACTTTGGACATGCTATCAGGAGAGACCAGCCCCTGGAGAAGGACATTGTGCTTGGTCACAAGAAAGAGGAAGGCCCTCACCTAGATGGGTTGACCCAGTGGCGGCATCAATGGGCTCAAGCATCAGAACCACTGTGAGGATGGTGCAGACAGGACAGGGCTCTGTCCTGCTGGACATCGGTGGCTGAGTTGGAACTGGTTTGATGGAATCTAATGACAACAATGAAAAGGGAACTTCCGTCCTTTCTACATTCTTAAGACAAAGCACCCTAAGCTCGCCACCTCCTCACCTGCTCCTGCCTAGGGATGGCGAGTAGCTCATCCGCTTGGAGAACTGGCAGAAGAAAATGGGCAGGCGTCCTAACCCCAAAGCTTCTGGGTTTTCTCCTTCTGGGCACTGCCTGCTGGAGAGAAGGCCCATGCTTTCTCCCTCCCTCTTCTGTTCACTGCACACTGGCTCTTGCCCTGCAAGGGAGGGGATCTTCCAGTTTGGGTGACTAAGTTGGATGGTGAGAAAAGAATGAGAAAGCCCAGTTGTAATGACAGATTCCACATCATATTCTCACATCTGTGATAAAGCGACCCCAAACCAAACTCCCTGCCATAAAGTGGATTCCGACTCACGGCGACCCTGTAAAACAAGAAAGAACTACCTTTGGGGTTTCCAAGACTAACTGTCCACAGGAGTGGAGAGTCACGTCTTTCCCCCCCGCAGAGTAGCTGGTGGGTTCACACCGCTGACCCCCTAAGCCACCCAGGCTTCCGCCATAGAGTTATAAATCACTTTAACTTCCAGCTATCCGAATTCTCTCCCTTATTTCTCACTCGATTCCAAGCTTACAGGGAGCTGAAAGAGCGAGCAGTTTGAATGCTCCAAGCTCCATGCTGATGAACGACTGAAAGTGCCGACCAAGAGTGGACTGGCCCAAATGGTTCTGTGAGTATCTTTCTAGCCCTAACATCCTGTGATTCCAAGTGAACCCCTC